AGATAATGAGTTCAAACAGGTGCCATTAATACAGGTAACCAGTGGAGGACAGAAAAGCTTCTTAAAGAAGACGTTACAGGTCTGTGAGAGCCAGAGACTTTCCTTGCTTGAAGTGACCAAATACTTATTTTCCACCCTGATTTACAAATAAATTCTTTAAAAATCCTGCCATGTGAATTCATTGATTTTTTTTCACATTCTGTCTCTCACAGTTGAAGTGTACCTATGATGTAAATTACTGACCTCTGTCATCATTTTAAGTGGGAGAACTTGCACAATCGGTGGCTGACTAGGGCTGCTCAATTAATCGAATTTTAATCACGATTACGATCTGAGTTTTGAACGATTATAAAAAACAAAACAAGCCGATTATTTGCTCCTCCCGCTTGCGCTGCCCTGAGTTGCAAATGAAGCGCTCCTCCCACAGTGTTGCCAACTTGGCGACTTTGACGCTATTTCTAACAGCTTTTCAGACCCCCTTTTTGACTTTTTAAATCTTAAAAGTACCTAGCGAACACCTCAGAAACATCTCTGGTAACCCTTAGCTACTTTCTGGATAGCTGTTGTTGACATTTCCTGCAGGTTAGCTAAAAACTCCGCCTGCGCTCTGGACCGTTCTTCAGGACATTAGGAAAGGGAATGATGCAGTGATGTGTCAGTCGCTAAAGAAACGGCTCTCAGAGCCGGCTCCCTGTTAGAGTAACCAGAGTAAGTGACACACACCGCACCTGCGGGCTCCTGAGCCGATAAAAACAGCTAAATGAGCGCGTGCGGCGTGCTAAACACACGTGCAGCTTGCCCCTGATTGCTGTGAGACCGGGTTGGGGGTTGGGGGGTGCAGCTGTGGTTGGGACAATTATTACATTAACTGATGGACGACTTGTAAATAAATAGTTTATAAATAAGGTAGAAATAAGTTCCTCACACTGATAACTAATAACTAATCTCTCTGAGGACACGGTGCTAGTGCACTCTCCTACAGCACCTAGACACGACTCAATAAATGTTATGCAACATTTTGTGAACATCAATTTATTTGCATGTATTTGTTATAAATGCCACTGTATAATTCTTGCTGTCGGTATTTGCAAGATATTGGTATTTGGGTCTGTACTGGTTAGACTTAAATGAGTTAAACCAAGGTCTATAGCCCTTGGGTCATAAACTACGAGCTATAATTATATTGGTCTTTTTATACTGGGAGTCAGGAGTTCTTTTAGTGATCATCTTGTTTCTTATTTTTGTCCTGATTGTGCCCTGAGCAATTTTATGACTGAATAAAAACAAATAAAATCAACATAAATAGAAAAATCGTCCAAAATAATCGAGATCTCAATTTCAGTCACAATAATCGTGATTATTATTTTTGCCATAATCGAGCAGCCCTATGGCTGACTAAATACTTTTTTGCCCCACTGTATATGTTTCTAGATATTTAATTTCTGAATTGATGGGAATGTACAAATTTCTTTTAGAGGGGAGTCATGAACAGCCAGTAGTTTGCATTTTTTTTTTCAAATTCAGCTTAAGCCCAGAGGCTGCAGAGAATAACTTTATTTTATCAATAGCAATAGGAATTTGTTTATAATTTTTTAAGAAAAGCATGGTGTCACTGTCATCCGCTAATTGACTTATGATCAATTCAGTGCTGTAGCGTCATAAATGTCCTGTTTTTGACCTAAAGGTCATGATCTGCTGCGTCTGCTCGAGCAGAGACATAAAGTCTCTGACAGGCTAATCTACATGAGATAGTGGCCAAGGTCTTTCATGCACTCTGCTCATCTGAACTGCTTCACCTCTGTCAGCGAAGACAAAGATGAAGAACTCTCTTCATAAACACATTATCAACAACTTTGTTATTACCAATAATAATGTGAGCCCAATGTTCAATCATTCTGTGAAATAACAATGTTATTACTTGATATTACAATCCTGTGATCAGTAGTATTTTATAAGTTATTATAATCCTGAACATTTGCACTAGACACTAAAAGACACGTAATGCTACAGTCACACGACACATTTCCTTTGGTCTGACCCAATCAGAACCTTCGTTTCTGGCTAGGCGTGGTTTTCTGTGGTGTTTGTATAAACCCTCTTTTGCATGTCACATTCTGATTCGCCCGTAAACCAAAATATGACAATTATAAAAACTATCCCACGCCACCTTTTCTTTAGTTCAAAGCGTTCTAGAGGAGTCTCGGACCGGCCATCCGGACTTCCTCTTCAGCCAAAAGAACCTCGACAAGCTGGATAAAATCTGTTGTGTTACACCTGACCACAACGGTTCCTTCAGAATAAAAGCTGAACCTCACGCCCCGTTCAGGGTCTCGCTGATGCCAATGATAACCTGTCGTGACCTGGAAGCATTCCCAGACTAGTTTGGTCGGCACCGCTGCTTTTCTACCGACTTCGGTACCAAGGAGGGTCCAAGAGGACCTCGACATTCTGGATCTAAACGTAGGCTCCCCCTGGGGTACGTAGACCAACAGATGGCGTCTCGTGTGTGTTATAAATCTCCAACTATAGTTTAGAGCGAAACATTCACTCCCACTCAGAACTAACTGCTTCTCCAGATCCACTGGTTCTGATAGTAACATTTAGAGCCCTGCACGGGCCTACATTCTGAGCCCGTGTCCGGCCCGGGTGGAGCCCCAGCCCGAAAAGGTTTTCAGGATTCTCTGGCCCGACCCGAGCCCGTCTTTTTTTAACCAACTAAATGAAAACAAAGTGCGTCAATCCTGACCAATGTGTTAAAAGACTTGCAGGATCCGATCATTTTGTTTTTCCCTCATTTACCGTCACGGAGATAACGGCGCACTGGCTCTGGTGGTAATCAAGTTACATTTTATCTCTTTGCAGCAATTTTCACAAGAAAACAGAACAGTTAAAAGCAGGGATTGTGTTGACCGGATAGTTCCCGTATTTGACCGTTAATTTTGACGGAGAAAGAATAGAAAGAATTACCCCGAACTGACATTTTATTCTACGCACATCGCAGATGTAGCTAAATCACTCAAGAAATGATTCACATCTGAGCATCTGAGCTGGACACCGCTCAGCGCAGCTCGCTCTCAGCGCGTATGTACGGTCCACAGCGAGCTGAAGATGTGGAGAGGGGCTTGGAGCGCGTCGCAGAACCAGAGTGCATGCGGGAAGCTTCCTCCAACTGAAGCGAGTGTTTTCCAAACCCGGTCTCTCAGAGAGACTTGTCACTTAGAAAATGTTCCCTGATGATGAAACTTTGGCTGAATAGTGCTTGTTCCCGTCTCCAATGTGGCGACACATCCAGGAGCCGTCTGAGGAGAATCCCAGAATCTCACATCCTCGTCAGCTCAGGAAGCGCCTATGATTACGCACAAGCATGACGCGTCAACCCGGTCTCACAGTAAGACCGGGTTGGGCCTGTTCAGGTTTACGCAGACAGTCTTTACATAGAATTGACTTACAGATATAAAATTAATTCAGTAAAATATAAAGCTTTTTATTTAAATATCCATTCATTATTTTACAAGCACAGAGAGCCGCATCAGATTCAGATCAGCGGGAAGATTCCTCCGACTGAATTCAGTGGGAGGAACCTTCCCGCATGTGCTCTGGTTCTGCGACGCGCTCCAAGACCCTCTCCACAGCCGGGCGACCCGAGGGCCTAGGGCTTCAGTGCAGGGCTCTACCTTGCATCATGTGACCACGGCGGTAACATAACGTCACGTGACACGGGAGATAACGTTATATTTTATACGTATTAGTTTCTATATATATATATTAGGGCTGCAACAACGAATCGATAAATTCGACGAAAATCGATTACTAAAAGCGTTGGCAACGAATTGCGTCATCGATTCGTTGTGTTGCGCAACTCTTCCAAAAGCCCCCTCCCCTCCTGCCCGCCGTTGTGCGCAGACCGGTGGAGAGCCGGCAGGTGTTTGCAAGAGGAACATGGCAGAAGCAGCGAGACCCCAAAAAAGTAAAAACTTCTAAAGTTTGGGAGCATTTTCAGTTAAATCAGGCGAAGACATGCAACGTTTGTAGGTCAGACTTAGCATGGCACGGGGATACTACGGTGATGATGCAGCGTCTTAAACGCAAGCATGTCAGAATCATCAGCGAGGAAGGAGAGAGCTCGGTGTCCGGGTAAGTTAAAAACTTTTCAAAAGTGATTCACCCAAGCCCCGGATTATTACACAGGCTAGACATGCCCTAAGCTCGTAAAAAAAGTCTATAAAATTGTAAGCGCGACGCTATTAGATAGGCGGGGGGGGGGGGGGGGGGGGGGGGGGGGACTCGCGCCGCTGCGAACCGGTTCCGCCGTCACATTCCCGTCATATATATATATATAATTATATATATATATATATATAAATATAATTATATATATATAAATATATATATATATAATTATATATATATATAATATAATTATATATAATTATATATATATATATATATAATTATATATAATTATATATATATATATATATATTTATATATATATATATAAATAAATAAATAAAACAAGCCTTTTACTTTTTAAATTGTGTTTATGTTTGTTAAATTAAAAATATAAGTGAGTTACTACCTGCTAGCCACCGAAGCTGCAACTACTAGGCAACTAACCAACCATAAATAACTTCTTTGGATCTAAAAAAACATTTTAAATTAGTTGATTTACTTTTAAACTTGAAATTTGTCCTGAAGTAGCTGCCGGCTTCTGATCCGCCGTCCTTTTGAAAATACTGCGGTGTATTCTGGGTAATTTTTGACCAAGGCTAGGCTACAAGACACCTCCGTATATCAGCTAGCTAAACGGCTAACAAACGGAGAACACACGCCTCGGTGGAACATGAACATTGGAACACGTCTTGGCGCCTCCTGATGACGTATCTCCTAGGCAACCGGGGCGGGGCCATGACATCAAGGCGAGGTTCCTTAACTAACCTAGACTAACACGCTGGTCAGTAGGTTCCTGTAGCAGCTCAGAAATGGGGTTCAGACACAAGTGACCTTTAACCTTTCATCTTTAATCACTTATTTCTGTGTTATGTTACAGCAATAAAATAAAACACTTAAGATTTACAGTACAGGCGCAGCCTCTGACCCCGCCCAATCTGGGGTCCCATCTGGTCCTCGCGTTTCACACTGTGGATGGTTTCATCAATGCCTGCTCCCCAAACAGCTGCTGGAAGTGGACCACGTGCTCCTCACAGTGTTCACCTGGTCACACACACACACACACACACACACACACACACACACACACACACACACACACACACACACACACGGTGAGAACCAACACGTGGCTGAGATGTCCTCTAGAACAGCTCAGAACTTCTGCTAGTCCCTCACCTACAGGTCTACCCCAGTGCTCACCTGGGTTAAAGGCGGGGTTTCCTCGTAGACGCTGGTTCCTCTGCTGGAACGATCGGAACACGGTGTAGAACAACATCTGGTCTCCGGTCTGGCGCGCTGCATCCAGGAACTTCCGGGCTGAAACATTGTCATGGCCGCCTGATCCAGAGGAGGAAAAGGTCAAAAATCACAGACTGTGTTTAGAGAAATGGAGATTAGGTTAACCCTAGCAGCTAAGCTAACAGCATCCTGTTGGGTCCAGAGTAGCTAGACAGGTGCCCCTCACTAGTAGAGCTGATTTAAAGCCAGGCATGTCCACATGCACGTCTTTGTTGCTAAGCAACACCTGTTTTCACTTTGGGTCGATGTTGGATCTGAATTCTGCACCGTGTCGGTTTAACTTTTATACCAGGTGAGCTAAAACTGGTGTTTCTGCAGGTAACGGCACCGTGGAACGTACCGACGCTGCGGATGAATCGGAGAGCGCCCAGAACCTGCTGCTTGGACAGCAGAACCTCCACGATCTCATCATTGGCCGTAGACAGACGCTGCAAACAGGACCAGACTGGTTTGGGTCAGCTGTTCTGGTGACCTCTGCTCATCACCATGGAAACCAAAACTGGAGTTTTCTGGGACTTATCCAGGTCCTCCAGCAGCTTCTGAAGGTTCATCTGCTCCAACACACCTGCTTCTCTTCCACAGGTGGTACAGGTGTGTTGGAACATGCTGGATGGTGGTTCTGGAGAACAGGGATTAAACCCACACCCAGTTTGGTCTCCATGGCAACACTGCTTGGTTTTACCTTCAGCATGTCCAGAGAGAGTTGGTGTGCAGGAGGATAGGTGCTCTCCAGGGACAGCAGCAGACAAGCCTGAAACCACAAAGAGGTCCAGTCAGAACCAGAGCCAGCCCGACCCGACCCACCTGATGTGGACCTACCAGGGGTTTGGAGTCGCTTAGGACGTGGTACTGTAGGAACTGGTGCAGCATGTAGAACAGGTTGTGTTGGACCAGGGTCTTGATCACCAGCTCGTACAAGTAGTGCTGAAACATGCAGAGTCATGAGAGGAGGGAAGTTCTGCTGGTACCAGAACCAGAACTTTAGCAGTTACCTGGACAGTGATCTGGTTCTGGTTCAGCGAGCGGATGTACTCCATCAGAACAGCGATGATGAACTTGTGAGACACGTCCTGTGGGGTCAGGGTCAGGGTTGGAGGTGTGTGAGGAACGGGACCACAGCAGGTGACACTCACCTTCCTCAGCAGGTGACACTCACCCTCCTCTCCGTGAACGCCGACAGGACGTGTGTGTACATGTCCGACTGGTCAATGACCGCCTGAGTCCTGACTGGTCGTTTCTGGGCGGTGCTGCCTCGACTCGGACCCGACTCCATCGCCTACGAACACAAACGCTATGACATCATCACTCATACTGGTGGTGGGGCCGAGCGTACCTAACTCACCGCCGTGTAGCTTTGATCTGCCTCCAGGTAATCTTTGTACACCTGGTTGAGTTTGTCAAAGACTGTTGCCACGACAGGAAGCCCCGCCTCCTCATGCCCCCCCAGAACTGCAGCAGGAGAAGGAAAAGCTTTTGTTCAGTCGTCAGCCACAAGTTCTCCTGGGACCGTCCTCGTCCTGTCGGCCGCGAGGATGAAAATCACGCCTCTAGTTTCAGCTGTGTCTACAACCCCCCAAGGTGCTGTACAACACAGGGAGTAAGGGTGAAGTGCCTTGCCCAAGGACACTACGGCTGGAACCGACCGCGGGAGACTGCGTGTACAGATGGTCCAGGAGATGATGCTCCTAGCCGTACCTGCTGTAGCCTTTTATGTTCTCATAACTCACACTGAAGTACTTTTGTTGCCTCTTATCTGTGGTTTAGTCGTGAAAAGCTCCATGTTGGGTGTGTCTGACCAACGTGTGTTCGTTTGCTGCCACCATTAAAACCTAAAAGCTGTTTCCTACTCGTCAGATTTTGTTGCTGCGGTTGGCCTTTCGAGCTCTTTAAGCCTCAGTTACCCAACAGGTAGAAGACAGGGTAGTATACATATACGTGGAAGCATCTGAACCCTACATGCTGCTACCAGATGTCTGGGTGGCGGTACTGCTACGTGGAACGAGCCCCCGCACCGTGAGAACAAACATCTCAGCTCTGAAGCCGATCTTCATCCGCATACGTCACACGTCACGTGATCAGGAAGCAGAGCATCCATGTGTTAGGAGATCGTAAAAAAAGTGAGGCGCGAACCGGAAAAGCTGCCGATCACGATTCAACAATTATGAAAGAACGGATAACGCTCGGAAACACGCGGATTCTTCCTGATGTAAGAGGTGAGTCTCCGCTTTGTTTTGGTGTCGACATCATCCTAGCGCGCAACGTTCTGTCACTCTTAAAAAAAACCAGCAAAAACGCTGAAAAGCGCTGGCAGCGAATGAGTGAACAGCAGATGACCAACACATAGAGAAGGGTGTAAATAAAGATCAGTCCCCGCTACACATCTTAGATATTTCTTCTCCACACGGTTTCAGATAAACTGTTCATTAAAGGTACGACACGAGTCCTACAGTGAGATGATCACTAAAGACTCGTGTCTCTGGGAGGTCTCCGGTGTGATCTATGTTTATCTATTAGGTAGACGCTTTTATCCAGAACACCGTACCTATAGGGCATGTTGTGATCTGTGGGGATACCAGAGTACCCGGAGGAAACCCACGCATGCACGAGGAGAACGTTCAACTCCACATAGAAAGGCTGCAGCCGAGTTTTCAACCTGCAACCTTCTTGCTGCGAGGCAACAGTGCCAACAATTGCACCACGCTGCAGCCCTATCTAACGTTGCAGCGCCGACATTTGTAACTCCAGAACGGCGGGAGGTTCTGTTTTAGCTCTTCTGCACCTGACAGCGGTTTCTGAGCATGCTAGCAGTGGCGCTAACGTAAAAAACATCAAGAACAAGAAGACCTACTTTGTGAACACACCGACAGGATGACCAACTTGCAGTCCCGTCGACGTAAAAGGAAGTCCATCAGCTTCCCTTTGTCCTCCAACAGGTGGACCATGGGAGCCAGCTTCACCTGGAGGTACCACAGGTAACCTGAGACAGATGAGCAGACATTAACCACAGCTAAATTCAATTCAATAAAACTTTATTAATCCCAGAGGGATTACTGCTCGTTGTGATCAGTAACTGGATCTGATGGACTCTGAACTCAATCTTTGACCGACTAGACACTAGTCCTCTGATGAGACTCGACTCTTTAAAACATCTAGTGATTTGTTCGTGTTTAACACACCTTCACTGGCGCTGATGATGATGTCAGGCTGGAAGACACTCCAGGATGAAGAATCTTTGGGTTCAAAAGGTCAGGAAAACAAGCATGAATCAGAATAAACTCACTGCTAAGGCAAGACAAAACAGAACCGGGGAAGACTAAGGACACTGCCTTGAGGGATGCCACTGCAGAAATTTCTGTGTAAAGCGTAGGGAGGATACAAAGCTGACATGGCACCGGAGGCTGAGATGGAACCACAACCGGACCTGCAGGGACACAAACCCTCAGAGTGAGAAACAAACGCACCACACCCAACCCCCCCAGGAGCAGGTGTGTACCTGACAGAGATACCCTGTATGGGTGAATGGACCGGGCTGGTAGGACAGGCTGGTGAGTGTTGACGGCACAGTCCGGTTCCTTCAGCTTGATATCGAAGATCAGTGATGTCTTACGGACAAACAGGAAGTGATGTAATCAGGTGTAGTTTAGTTTTATCGGACAGCACAGAAGACAAAGGGTGTTTCTCAATGTCAAGAACCTCACCTGGATGTCTTGGTCCCGCCCCGGTTGTCAAGGAGATACGTCATCAGGAACCGCCAAGGCGTGTCCCAGTATTTGTGCCAAGCGTCTGTTCTCTGTTTGTTAGCCGTTTAGCTAGCTGAGCAAGGATATATGGGAGAAGCCTTGTAGCCTGGCCTTGGCCCAAACTTTCACAGAACAGCGCGGCATTTTAAAAGGATCAGACGCCGGCAGCGACTTCAGGGGCAAAGTTCCCGTTTAAATGTACGTCAACTAAATGTAGCTATCGGGTTGATACCTACAATCCAAAGCAGTTAGCTGTGGTTGGCTAGTTGCTCAGTAGTAGCAGCTTCGGTGGCTAGCAGGTCCCAACTCGCTTACATACTTAATTTAACCAATTATACACAATTAAAAAGGCTCGTTAGACATTTATACTGAAACTTATACGTATAAAATAAAACGTTACCTCATGTGACACGACTGCCATGGTCACCTGAGGTAAGAATGTTCCATTTAATTGTTTCTTCTACCAAGGAAGGACGTGTCCTTGTAAGCAAGGCGCCTCGACGTTGAGAAACACCCAGTGTTGCACGTAAACTGTTGCTCAGTAAGAAGAAAGGAACTTCTGGTTCTGACCTGTGAACTCTGGTGATGAACAACAACCAGGTTGTCCACGATGTTCAGAGCAAACTTCCCCGTTGTGTTCAGCTTCAACACATGACTCTTCTTACACGGGCCTTCCCTGCAGAACACAGCAGAACCTGTGGTCCACATGTGGGATGGGAACCCTAGTTCTCAGACATGTGCTGCATGTCCACGCCTAACGCCACCGAACCTTTAACCCGAGAGTTTACCCAAACCAGCGTCTGAACCTGGGGAGGTTTAGCGCCTTCACTGAAACGAAAAGGTACGTAGAACTAAAACGATGCAGATCTACATCAGATTCGGTTTGGAGACACAAAACCTCTGCAGGTTTACAATCACTGATGATGTCATCACAATCAGCTCGTCCTGCAATTTAGACCGTCTTCTAACGGAGTCTCATTTAATTCTCCGACTGGTCTCCAACTCGTCCCACATTTCTCTCAAGTTCCAACTGTTAACACCTGCTCCAGGAACTAGGGATGTCCCGTTCCCGTACGAACATCGGCCCAAAAACACCAGATTTTATCGGAACGCATCAAAAATCTCCGATGTCAGCAGGACGTTCCGCTTTAAACTCCATTCCAGCAGTTCTACCCATCAGCTCCCAGATCCAAAGTCCAGGTGATCAGAACAGTGTGTGCTAGCCCCATGTGGCTGTGTATTTGTTAAGAGTGTGACAGACAGCTTGGCTGGGAGCACAAGTTTCCTGCGGTGCAACAGAACCAGACTAACACGTCCAACCCCATCGTGCGTTGGAAGCAGGATCACTGAGGATTTTCTCAGACACTCGACTTGTAGCGGTTGGTCTGCGTTTCCTCATCTCTCTAAACTCAGCTGTTCACATTCATGCAACCAAAGGTTAAGGGAACACTGGTCGGTTTTTACACTTACTGATGCTGGCTTGTTTTCAGTGCCAGTAAATCCCTGCACCGAGCCTTGTGTATGTTCCACTCTACGGAGCAGGTACAGGCACGTATGTTTGTGCTGATATCGTATCGGACAGCACTGAAGGACTGGAAGTAAAAAAAGATGTACGGAACATCCCTACAGGGAACATCTGTCCAGCGACACAAGAGCACGTCCACCAGACTCAGCAGGAAGTCCAGAACATTCCCAACAACCGTTTTAGTTTAGTAACGTCCCAAACATAAAAACAGTTTCATGTGAGAACCGACCCTCAGTGACTCCTTCTGCAGGTTCAGAACAAAGGAAAAGAAATCCTTTGATCTTTTTCTTCTGCTCATTTAGGAACTGGTTGGTTGTTAGCTCAACCAGAACCGGTCCGGACGGGCCAGTGTGTGTCGTTACCTCGGTAGGTGATACAGAACCACCTCTGCACCAGGGCTGTTGGGCGTCCTGGAGTGATGCTTCAGATACATGACGTACAGCTGGCCGTAGCTACACACACACACACACACACAGAGTTATCCCCAATCCACATGAAGTGGAACTATTATTTACTCTCATTACATGGTTGCTATGGCGACATCTCGCTCAGACAGGCTGAGTTTGGCGGGTTTGGGGATGACCGGCAGTTCGATCTCAAACTTAGACATCTTGGAGATGGTTCCGTTCTGGGAAAGATGGATATTCACTATGAAAACACACACACACACACACACACACACACACACACAGGACGTGGGACTCACCCTGAAGGCCAGCGGCTGCAAGACGTTTCCCTGGACAGTAGTGGACAGCAGGAGGACGGCCGTCTCTGGACAGTACTGGTACCAGTTCACGTTGATGTTCTGACTCTTCTGCAGCTTCAGGCTGCGTTTGTCTGGAAACACCTGAAACCCACATTTCAGAACATTTCCTGCTGCTCCACATCTAAACAACAGTTTGACTCTGCAGAAGCGTCTGGCGCGCCACCGGTCTACCTGATAAAACTCAACGCCCTGGTCTGTTATGAAGACGATCTCGTTCCAGCTGGTCCAACAGAACCCCAGAACGTTGGCGTTCTTCGTCTGCAGAGCGACACAGAGGGTTACTGAGGGAACAGGAGGGAACGGAGATGTTTGACCCAAAGGCTGACGGACCTTACACTCCTGAGTGAACTCCATGTGTGGGTAGTCAGGAATGAAGTTGATGAAATCCTGTAAACACAACCAGAACCAGAACCTTAAAGGGAAGTCAGAATAAAAACATCCCACACGCTCCTGAACTCACCACAGACTTGGAGGTCCTCTGAACCGCCAGGATCTTGTTCCCGATGGAGAACTTGATGCACTTCACCTCTCCTTTGTCATCCATCCTGAGGAGGAAAGCGGCAGCCAGAGCAGGGTTAGGCAGGTCTTTCACCTGAGTCTACAGGTGAACACGCGGCTAGCTTAAACTAAACGGTGATTCCTGATGTACCTGAAGGCAACACTGCTCTTGTCATCTGGCCCTTTGACCACCACACCTGTGGCTCCACCTGAACGCACCGCGAACACCTACAGGGTTGAGGTTAGGGGTTACCGGCGCGCGACTGTAGCAGGTTAGCTTAGCCGATGCTAACTGTTAGCTCACCTGTTTATTAGCTTCATCGAAGAAGACGTTATTGACGCTGGACGCGTGTTCGAACTGGACCGGGTTCTCCTTCAGCTCCAGGTAATGCTCGTTGGCCATCCTCACACACCTGGCCGGTTCTGCTCCTGATGTTTGACCGGAAACCGGAAATCTAACTACAAGCCTTCCTTCTTCTTCACAATAAGAGACCGTTTCAACTGTGGTGAAACTTGTGTAGCAGCACACAGAACTAAACGTGCGTATCGCGCTTTGACGCACCTTCATGTGAACTCGTTTCCAAACCATGTTCAGCTGGAGAAGACCTGTTTTTGGTTTAGGCTGTTCGGTGGCGTTCTTGTGACAAGTCATGTGACCAACATTCATCACGTGCTTGCTTACAAACTTCAAAACACAAAATTCGTGTTTAAGTTTTATTGAATCAAAATAAAAACATCAGATTTTCCTCTAACAGAAGATCCTCTACGCCCCGAAGAAACACCACTGCAGGGTCTCACACACACACACACACACACACACACACACACACACACACACACACACACACACACACACACACACACACACACAAACACCTCTGACTTAGATTATTTTATTAATCTGAACAAACTTCCTGACTCGCAGCTTCACACAAACACGCAGCAGTAAAGCAGGAGGACATGATGACGTCCCAGCTGGACCCACCATCCTGATCAGGGAGTCTTCTCCTCCTACAGCCTGAAGGAGGTGTTCCACTCTGCCCTCAGTTGGAGGAGGGTGGGGTTAGCGGACAGGTGTGGAGGAACCAAAGCCTCCTCCTCGTCTCCAGAACACAGCAGATGGTGACGAGGGCGGCGTTAGTCGTCAGTGTCCGGTTTTAGAGGAGGACCTCCATCCTCAGAGGTCACCGGGAACGATTTCTTTCCTCGTTTCTGGATGTGATCCTCGTTCCGCTTCTCCAGAGCCACGATCTGTCACAGAGCAGAATGATTCAAACACCTCGTATCCACCACGGCTCAACGCCCGCCAGGACCCTCTTTTACCTCCGACATGAAATCCGCCTCGTCCTCAGCTCCAACCGGGACACTCAGCCCCGTCACGGCGTTGAAAAGCTCGTAGACGCTCATCACGTCGCCCACGCCTCGCTTCTGGAAGAACTGAAACACAAACACGAGGCATCTGATACCTGGGGTCTACCTGGACACCAGCGGGACAGAGACTCAGCTGATGTCCCACACCAAACATCTGGATGTTTTACTTTCATCTGGATCGAAGCCGAACTATGGAGGGCGTTACCGTGGAAACGTTCCTGCAGTCTCTGAAGAGGAACTCCAGCCCGTGAGGATGAGTCGGCTCCACGGACTGACTCACGTCTATCAGCCACACCTTCAGCCAATCAGAGCAGGACAGAGAAAGATGAGTGGATGAAGGTTACAGGCTGAAGGTCATCATCATCATCATCATCATCATCACCTTCTCCTGGTACCACAGCATGTTGTATTCACTGAGGTCAGCGTGGACCAGGTGACATTCCTGATACAGCTGCTGCATCAGCTGCACACACACACACACACACACCTGGATGTTACCTGGTAGAACTCCACATCAGCTACAAACACACACACACCTGTCTGTGAGACACACACCTGTAACACCTGGTAGTAAGCGGCTTTCATGTCCTCGGAGCTCAGCGTCACGTCCTTCAGCTTCGGAGCCGGAACGTGGTCCTTCCCGATGAACGACATCACCAGGATGTGTTTCTTCAGCAGAACCACATCTGGAACCGGAAGTCCAGCTTTCTTCATCCTGGCGACGTGAACAGAGACGTTTCACCTGCTGCAGCTGTGACTGGCAGACCAGAGCACCTGGGCTGTACCTGGACAGGTTGTGCATCTCCTTCTCCGCCCACAGCCGGATCACCTTCCTGGGGTTCAGTTTGCTGAAACGGTCTTTGAAGCGGTAATCGTCTTTGATGTAGCGGTCCCTGTTCTTAAACTCGTTCAGCGTGGTCTTAAACACCTTGAGGACCACCTCACCTGGTACGGGCTCCTCCTCCAGCCTGGACGGGACACACACACCTCAAACGTGAACCAGAACCCCTCAGATCCTGTTCCCAGCAGGTTCAGCTCCTCCCAGCTCACCTGCCCCCATCGGCGTGGAACACCACCGACTCCTTCCCGGTGCTGATGCAGCCGTTGATGTTCTCCAGCACGCCGGCGTTCACCATCTTGTACATCAGCAGACGGGTCCTCGGGTCCACGGCTTGTTCCTGTCCAGACACACGAGATCACGTTGGGACAGACAGCAGGACGGTCCATGGACCGGACTGTGGGACACGTACGGCGGTGGAGTGCTCCTTCTTCTCATGGAGCCGAGCGCTGCGTCTCTGCTCGCTGTAGCAGTGCTGCTTCAGAGAGTTGAAGACCTGGTTGGACAGCTTCAGGTCCATCCCCAGACCATCTCCCACCTGGACCTCTGGAGCAAACTGCAGGACAGGAGGACGGGGGACAGACAGAACAACATCCAGTTGTTGTGACTTCCTGAAAGCAGGAATCAGAACACCCAGAGGACTTCCAGAACCACCATCCAGACGGAGACTTACATTGTCCATCCGGGCCGTGTTCTTGCGTCCACAGGCCACCTCGTCATGTTTGGTGGTGATGTTCTTCCCCTTCCCGCTGAAGCCCCTCCTGGGCGTGGTCTGAGGTTTGTCTGGATCATCAGGAACACAAACATTACAGAAACGTCTCAGACGGCTCCTCTAGACCTGATGCAGGAACCTCACCGGCTCGGTACGGGTCGTGTCTCGTGTCCTGCCAGTCCACCTCGTCCTCCGAGCTGTCGCTGTCCTCATAGGGATGGACCATCCGATAGTTCTCAAAGGAGATGGACACTGGACAGAGACACAACCTGGTTAGGAAGAGAGTCCAACCGGGAACGGTCCTCTGACCCAGAACTGCTGGGCTCGTCTAGGCTCGACCAGCGGTTCTGGGCCCGACCCGACCCTACCTTTACTGTCTCCGTTGAACTTCCTCTCCTCCCGACGGAGCTGATCATCAAACTCTCGGTCAAACTGCATCTGCAGCATCTGGGCCAGCATCAGGTCACTGGTGGTGTCGGGACCGTCCTCCAGCAGCAGGTCCACCTCTGGGCTAAAGCAGAACCAGCTGTCAGACCCAACAGTCTGAATCGTAGCTGCAGGACAGGAGAACGGCGTGCTCCAGGTGACTCACCCGGTGAGAGCAGAGAAGCTGCTGTTGTCTTCCTCCAGCTGTGTGGCCAGCTGTTCGCTCATCACCTCCGTCAGGGGGCAGGCCGGGGCCGTCGGGCCCACACAACCCCACGGGTTCTGGAGAAACAGAGTCAGTTTCATGCTTCAGCTCAGATGGTTCTGTCTGGTTAGTGATAACCTCGGCGTTTATAACAAGTAACTGCTGATGTAATCTGATTACTTTGCAGTAAATCTACTTCCAGAGTTACCCAACCCCTGAGCCAGAGGGAGGGGTGCTGGTGCGGTTAGATAACAGTAGTGACGTAGCCAGGCTGGAGGGACATGTCCTCGCATGTCTGAGAGGGGCGTGTCGCCTCAAACAGCTGACGTCATCCGGACGCAGAGGCTCAAATAAAACACCTGAATATTAAAGTTACATTTAAACGTTTTCTAATTGGATGTTGAAATAACTCCAACACCGAAACAGCTGGACACATCTGTGGCCACATGACTCCCACGTGACCAAACTGAAGGCCGTTTATCTCTAATCTGCCCTCCGAGCTAAGCTAGTTAAGCACGTTTACTTCTAACTCATACACGTTCAGCCTGGTCAGCTCTGACCTTCCGTCTCAGGTCCAATCGGGCTAAGCGACACGTTCGTGTAAAACCGGGCCAGACACAACCGGTACCGACCTTCCGCGCCTCCGCAGTGACTCCTGGCTGGTCCATGGCTGGGACTCCGGTCTGTCGGCTAGCTAGCGCTAAAGCTAACGCTGGTGTAACTTCGTGGAAACAAAACGAGACGAGAAGAGCCGAACCGGAAGCTAGAATGTAAACGTCAGCAAAATGAAAATAAAGTTCTCAAGTCGGTAACAAACGTTTGTAAACGGATGAAAGTTGAAGACGACGTAGAGGCGTCTCACAGGACAGCGTGAACCTTTAAACACCCGGAAACACGTCACAGCCCAACAAGACTCCAACCTGCCTTCAAAATAAAACACTTTACATCACATCCTCCCGGAGTCGCGCTGTCCGTGTTCGAGAGCACAGAGATGTATGTAAACAGTGTTTATATACTTTATATATTCTCTTTATGGCCTATATAGTTATCAACGTAACATGATTTATGACCAACTAACATTTAGAGTTCTGCCACCGGATGTTTGGATCAAAATGAGAGCCAATCAGATCTTAGATCAGTTGAGAGCCAGGAGTTTCCCATCATGCCCTAGGTGTTGGAGAGCAACTGCAGCGCCTTGCTCCAAAATCTGCAGCCGCCTTGATCTCACTAGATTATCGTTGCCTACGTAGCCATGACGTCAGAGCAAGTCGGTGTTAAGTCTGACACAAATCTTACTGGCATGCACTGCAGTGCGCCGATCACCGGTGATCGAATCTGAACTCAAATCAGAACTGGCTCATCTCGAACACGGACTACAAATCAGAAATCGTCGGCAGCATATGTGACGTCACCACAGAGTCTCATCTCCCCTAGCTAGCTGCTTACCACATGGCCAGATTTGTTATGGATTAAAGATTTGAAGTTCCCTGAATTCACCGCCATTTTCTCTCTCTCTTCTCTGTCTAGATCGATGACGTCGCTTTGGTGAAGCGCATTTGTAGTCCTGAACTTATTTTCACACAAAACTTAAAATAACGTCCCCCTCGCCAGAAAATAAGTGCGTTATGGTATCAAAATGTGTTTAAAATTTACGGACATCATGTGTGAAATCCATGGAACAAAACAGGCGGAATTAGAAAACAGCGTTTTTAGCCCCGTTGACTCAGGCCTAGTCCACACGTAGCCGGGTTTTTAAAAAAACGAATATCCGCCCCTCCAAAAGCTTACATCCACACCACCTCGTTTAAAACAAACTCTGTCCACACGTACCCGGATAAATACGTTGTTAAGGACATGCCAGACCTGTAGGCGGCAGTACTTCCCCCGTTCTTAACCTCGTCCTTCGTCTGTGGTCTTCCGCAAGGATCAGTAATTCCGCTTGCAAAAACAAACAAGTAGAAAGCGCTTGGACAACTGATAAAGCGAGCGCAGCTCTGAGGGCATCCATGCTGTCGGCTAGTGTAAACACAGGTCGCACACGTGATGTCAGCATTTTTATGTCGCGGAAAGTGACGTTGCGGACCTTAAAACTCCGGTTTTGTCCGTCCACACGCAGACACCCAAAACGGAGAAAACGCAGATCTTCACTTTGGCCGGAGTTTTTAAAAAACTCCGTTTTCGTGTGAAAAACTCCGTTTTCGTGTGGATGACAGGCCAAAACGTAGAAAATATCTACGTTTTGGCAGATCCCCGGCTACGTGTGGACAGGGCCTCATCTCCTCGTTCGTCGGGGGGCCCGTGGTCCGGAAGTAGATGGGCGGGGCTTAGGCTCCCTATTAATTAATAACACTGAGTTTTTATATATTTTTTCTCATGTCAACAGAAATTTTTTACAATAAATACAAATTAAATTTTCATAAGAATGCTTTTACTTCAACTGTGCCTTGAATCCAAAATCTGGTCTCAGGAGGCACTGATGCTTTAACTCATTATGAAAGCGTTAATAAAGAAAGAATGAATCACGGAGATCCATCCATCCATCTTCTGAACCCGCTTAGTCCACGCAGGGTCGCGGGGGGGCTGGTGCCTATCTCCAGCAGTCAACGGGCAATCAGGTGGGGTACACCCTGGACAGAGAGCCAGTCCATCGCAGGGCAACGCAGAGACACACAGGACAAACAACCATGCACACACCAAGCACCCACATTGAGGCAAACCCGGAAATGAATAAATTGCAGTTCCACCCTCGTCCACTAGGGGCTGGTGTCAGAAGCGAGCAAATCCTCATTGACTCCCATGTTAAAAATACCAATTTCACAGCAGAAATAAACATGTTTACAGCCTGGTACCAGAACATGTTTTTGGTTTAAATGATCTAGTTTACACTCATGACAACTCTGAGGGGGGTGAATGTTTTTCTCACTCTTCTGTTTAAGTGTATTAAAAGCCTAAAATTCTGTATAATTAAGGAGCATCAGACCCACGTGACCGCAGAGCTAGCTCCGTGGAAAGGCCTCAGTAGAGCCTCGGCCTGGAAACTGTTCTGGGATTCTGAGTCTCTGTGTGTGTGTATTCTTGTTTGGATATTATTTGTGCAATTGTTGGACAAAATGACTTGCTGTGGCATTAATTGCACTAATAGAGTGTCCAAGGAGTCTCCACTTCATTTTTTTCGGTAAGTAAAATTATATTTATGTATTTTAGGTCACTGCCGAGCTGAGCTTAGATTTTAACATGTACTGTTTAACCATGACATTTAAATGTAATAGGGCAGGGATTCCCTAAGTGTGGTGCGCTCCACCTCTCTTCCCTTTTGTGGAATTGTCTGGGCTTGACGGAACCTGTGACACGGTCAAAATGGCGGTGGTGGCCACCTCCCATTTAGCCTCAAAAACGTGATGGAGCCTATGGAAAGGAGATGTCCAGTATATTTATGTCGATGACACCCACACACACCTAAGGACAATTTAGACAGACCAATCAACCTAACAGTCATGTTTTTGGACTGTGGGAGGAAGCCGGAGAACCCGGAGAGAACCCACGCATGCACAGGGAGAACATGCTAACTCCATGCAGAAAGATCCCAGGCCGGGAATCGAACCCAGGACCTTCTTGCTGCAAGGCAACAGCTCTAACCACTGCGCAGCGGTGAATCACTGAGATCATCTTTGAAATAAAATAAACACTCCCATCATAAATGTTTAAACAGTTTAATTCTGATATAAAACAATAAAACCTGCGTGGTGAATAAAGTTTATTCACATTAAACTCATTTTTAAGACAAATGTAATAAAAAGCTCTGATGATTAAATTCTACAGACAAACTAATTTATGGTCACAATAAACATGGCAGCAGTCAGCTGAATCACATGAAAACAGCTGGACTCGTTTAAACCGACCAGTAACAAATATAATAAAACATTTGCTTCAACTAAAGGAAAGAATATGACTTACATCACCTATGCGCGTGCTCGTAGGCACACACCGAGCTGTAAATGCGCGTGTTCGCCACAAGCTGTCCAGGTTGGTTCGCGAGCGCGCATATCAACGCTGTCACCAGCGGGCGCGTGCAGGTGTGTGAAGTTTTCCTGGATCAAAGCGGAAACCGGTGGTGCGGATTTCAAAATAAAAGCACAAGATTTAATGGAAAAAAAAGAAAAGAAAAAGATGATAAATGAAAGTGTTACTTTGCAAATACAAGTAAAAATAAACATGTTTGTGTTACTTTTAGGGTGAAACATTAAATATTTAGGATCAACTTGACTATATCGCCTTCCCCTTGACCTGAAATCAACGTTAAATCTGTCCGTTAGCGAACTGCTTCCTGCTCACGTGGTAACAGGGAGCTGGTGTCAGTCACCATCAGTCACTAGGGTTGAGACGGGAGATACCTGGACAGGTCTCCAGTCCATCACAGGGACACAAAGAGACAAACATTTGAGTCAGCAGTTAGACAAAGGCACAGGGAGAACATGCCAATGGTCTACAGCAAGGCAGTGGCTGTGGAATCAAACCTGCAACCCTACTTCTGTAGGGCAGCAGTGCCATCACCTGCACCACCGTGCAGCTCCAGGCGTTACAACAAAAGAGCCTTTAGCCTACATAGAATGTGTTAGATGACAGGAGAGGGTTTCCTCACCTCCAACTGAAACCAGAACCAAGAGGACCAACAACATCCTGGCACCTGGGTGTGACTGTAACAGGTGTGTTTTCTAGTCCAGATGTCTGATTTCACGTTTATAGTGACTCATTCTGACTGTAGTCTGACTAAGCTGCTCTGTGAATAAACAAGGCCATCTTCAGTCTTATTTTGAAAGTCCAGAGCGGAAGCTGCGACTTACTTGCTAAACATGATCCTATCGGAGCATCCTGACGTCTTCTCCCGAAGCACAAAGTGAAATCGCGCCTCCTCCTCCCAAGGACGAGCCTCCTGCAGGATTACAACCGTCCTGTTCTGGAGAGCTGAGGGGTTTTCCCGCGGGATGCAGATCGCCTCCTCCTGCATCAGCACCACTACCGGAGGTTCGTTGGGCCGAGCAGGACAGCCGGGATTCAACCACCGAGCAGGTTCCCCCCCCACCCCCCCACCCCCGGTCACATTCATTATCGGACATGATATTAAACGGCTGCTTAGTCCGGTTCGGTTCTGTCGGGGTGTGTGAGTTCAGCCCGGTGGGACGTCTGGCTGCAGGATGTGAGGAGTGTGTGTGTGAGTGTGTGTGTGTGTGTGTGTGTGTGTGTGTGTGTGTGTGTTAACCTGACAGTTGAACTTTTATTTCTTTAACCAGGAGGAGAACTCATTCTCATTTACAGCAGACCGTTAGCTTTACACCAACGGACAGATGAGATAACACGGTTGGACATGAAGACCAGAGACTAGAGAACATCCCATAATATCTGAGACCAGTTTGCTTCAGCAGCTGATGTTCTAGATAGGCTCAGAAATATACAGCATCCATCACTCACTCACTCACTCACTCACTCACTCACTCACTCACCCATTCATCCATCCATCCACCCATCCATCCACCTTCTTCCACTCATCCAGGGTCAGACCATGAAGCGATCAGAACCAGGAGAATCCAGACATTCCAGTTCTTCTGGGAGGATCCAGCCTATTCCCAGATCTTTTCCTATTGAGATGTTTTGGGGCACATTCCAATGGGAGAAGACCAGAAACCTCCAGACCAGGAGATAGGACCTCCTCAGCTGACTCCTGATGAGGAGGAGCATCTCCTGATCTCAGAGGCTGAATCAGCCCCCCACCCCCGACCTAGATGGACCAGTACACCCAGAGCAGACCTGAGCCATGTTCTCGTCACTGTAGATCAGAGGTATTCAATTCCGGTCCTGGAGGTGTGGTATCCAGCATGTTTTAGTGGTTTCTCTGACTCAACAGGCTTGATTCAGCTGTTCGGCAGCTCATCAGGTTCTGTAGAAGCTGTTCATCACCTGCTGATTGAAATCAGGACCTCCAGGACCAGAACTGAATAGCCCTGCTGTAGATAAAGCCCTCACCAGAGTGATGCCGACACGTTCTTCTGTCTTTCAGGCTGAGGAGGAGCTTCATGTCGGACCAAAGAGCCTCGCCAGACACGGCACTGTCCCTCAGAGAACGGGCTGAAGAGACAACCCAGGCTCCACCTGAGGCTCTGAGGTTAGAAGATCCCGTCTCCTAAAGGCTGAGGGAGCCATGACAGGAGGCGGCAGGAGGAGGAGGCTGTGTCAGCAGGAGGAACCCGGACAAACAGGATGTGAGTCCACCTGCAGCGCCCACAGGACTGAACCAGCTGGTGATTTAGAAGATCAGTGAAAGTCAGGTTTTTTCTAAAACAGCAGAACTCCGAGTTTTCTACCCCGCCGTGGCCTCCTGAGCAGACAGCAGAGATGATTGTTGGTTCATGAGCTGCTCCAAACCTTCTCAGCGTCCTGATCGTCTCCACGTTTTCAACAGCAGCTACGATTGTTCCAGACACCACAGACAGAGACACGGTCCATCGGCTTTAAACTACCAACCGATTCCAGACTGGAGAAACCAACCTGAGGGTACTCGTTCTGGATGTTCGGACTAATATTGGACCAAGACTCCATGATGAACCACGTTCACACCAGTCTGGGCTCGGATACCACAGAGAAGGCTCGGCTAGAGCTGAACGAAAACCCAGATACTCTCCACCAGGACATCCAGCAGGTACACCACGCACCTGAAACACCCGACAGGCAGCAGGGATCTCTGAGTTTACAAGATCAGACCGGGAAAGTCCAAACCCCTGACCCAGGGAGGCCTACACGGCTTAGACGTTCTCCTGAGGTCTTTAGGTCTAGACTTTCTCCAACAGGACACGATGTGTAGCTTTAGAGATCCTCCAGCCTCCTTTATGTAGTCAAATGTTCTACTAGAGGTGGCTTCTACAGGTGTGGTGTAGACCAGCGTGCTTAACACTTGGGCCCTCGTATCATCATTATTAGTGCGTAGCACCAATTAAACGTAGGAACAGCCCCTAGTGGTAGAACAGGGAACCGCAGGACAGAAGGTCTCAGCCGTCCACGTTCCTCAGGTCTTATGGTAAATAAATACGTCTGCTTTTTATCGTAATTGGTGCTAAAACCATTAAAAGACACATGTGGCTGACGGGAATAATAACTTTATTTATAAAGTGCCTTTAAACAAAGCGCTAAACAACCCACAGCAGCATCCGCTACAGCCACATGGAGGAAGATCAACCCTAACCCTAACCCTAACCCTAACCAAATGCCTAAAGATTGATCAATCGTTAGTAAAAAGGTACGTTTGCAGTTTAGTGGTAACGCTTCTACCGAGCATGCTCGTCTGGCATCTGGTGGCAGATCATTCCAGAGCACCAAAAGCAAACGCACGCCCATCCAAAGCCATCCGCTTTACGCCGTGCCGAGCGATCGCAGCGCCCAGGATGCAACACATGGATCTGACATTGCATCAAGGCTGGATTTGGCCGAGCGTGCACTCTGGAGCCAACGCGTCCTCCATCAGCGCTCTGATCTCCACCAAGGAGATCCTCCTGGAGCGATGCTGGGATCTGGGATCCTTTGTAGCGCGAAAGATAAAGCGCACAAGTCCATATTCTGTTTAACAACTACGAGAACCAGATCATACATGCCGCGTTGCCATGGTAACCAGACTGAATAGGCATGTTTCCATTAGCAGAACTCCAGGGGAGTTCCTGGATGGGGAACTTGACCAGGAGATAGGACATCCCAGTCCTCTCAGCTGTTGTCTCCATTCTAATCCAGCCCGTCCACGACTTGCAGATGCCAGGAAGTGATGTCACTGATCTGCCCCAAAAGTAACATTAATAATATTAAAGCATCTATTTTATAGAATACATCACAATTTCATCCGCTCAGAGGACAAGAGCTCTGATGTTTGAGACACACCCCGTTGATTTTGTCTGTGAGGGAATTCCAGAGTTTTCCGGTGTCGAGAGTTAGATTTTCAATGTGATCGGTGCTTTTTTTATCTTCCATTCTGCTTCACCAGCTACTCTAACTTTAGTTACAAGTAAACAAGTTACTCTACAACTTATCAGATTCAGTTTATTTAGTCCTGACGGGAACCTGACATGACCTAAAACAACCCGAGATGACCTAAAACAACCCGAGATGACCTGAAACAACCTGAGATGACCTGAAACTACCTGAGATGACCTGAAACTACCTGAGATGACCTGAAACAACCTGAGATGACCTGAAACAACCTGAGATGACCTGAAACAACCTGAGATGACCTGAAACAACCCGAGATGACCTGAAACAACCCGAGATGACCTGAAACAACCCGAGATGACCTGAAACAACCCGAGATGACCTGAAACTACCTGAGATGACCTGAAACAACCCGAGATGACCTGAAACAACCCGAGATGACCTGAAACAACCCGAGATGACCTGAAACAACCCGAGATGACCTGAAACAACCCGAGATGACCTGAAACAACCCGAGATGACCTGAAACAACCCGAGATGACCTGAAACTACCCGAGATGACCTGAAACAACCTGAGATGACCTGAAACTACCTGAGATGACCTGAAACTACCTGAGATGACCTGAAACAACCTGAGATGACCTGAAACAACCTGAGATGACCTGAAACAACCTGAGATGACCTGAAACAACCCGAGATGACCTGAAACAACCCGAGATGACCTGAAACAACCCGAGATGACCTGAAACAACCCGAGATGACCTGAAACAACCCGAGATGACCTGAAACAACCTGAGATGACCTGAAACAACCCGAGATGACCTGAAACAACCTGAGATGACCTGAAACAACCCGAGATGACCTGAAACAACCTGAGATGACCTGAAACAACCCGAGATGACCTGAAACAACCTGAGATGACCTGAAACAACCTGAGATGACCTGAAACAACCCGAGATGACCTGAAACAACCTGAGATGACCTGAAACAACCTGAGAGGACCTGAAACAACCTGAGATGACCTGAAACAACCTGAGATAACCTGAGATGACCTGAACTTTAGGAACCAGTCTGCTGGGACTTGGACTGAAGGGTGGATCATCAGAAATGTTGGTTTAAATGATCTCCAGTACAGTAGACCGGGTTCTGTTAGATCTGGGTTTAGAACAGGTCCACTCTCACCTGGTTAACAGGTAGACATGAGAAGAAAGCCGGTTCTGATGGGTTACTCAGACTCTTGCTTTAACTTGTGTTTGTAGATTTAATAAAATAAACGGTTTACTCCCAAAAGACGTGAAACAAAAACAACAAATAAAAGGTCGATGGTTCCTAACGAGACCCGGTTCTGTGTGGGTTCTGGCTGGCGCAGGTGCGGGACATGATCGTGACCCGACCGGACATCGGGTTTCTGAGGACAGACGACGAGTTCATCCTTCGCTTCCTCAGAGCCAGGAAGTTTGACCATGTGGAGACGTTCCGACTGCTGGCCCAGTACTTCCAGTTCCGACAGCAGAACCTCGACATGTTCCAGAGCTTCAAGGTTAGTGTGTTTACGAATTCACCCATCTGAAGAACTTATGGGACGGGTTAGTTAGGGTGGTCCAGAGATCAAGAGGGCACTGGGACCAGGATGCCAATGCTAGAACCCGTCGTTGGAGGTCTGTTTGGAGGATCAAAACATCTTAGCTCCTCCTTCTTTTGGCTCCGCCCCTCAAGGAGGAGATCAGAAAACCTCCAGAGGAGGGCGACCCTCCTCTTCAGTAGACACCTAACATGAAGACGCTATCCGTAATTGCTTCTGTGTGTGTGTGTGTGTGTGCGTGTGTGTGTGTGTGTGTGCGCGTGTGTGCGCGTGTGTGCATGTGTGTCAGGTGGATGACCTTGGCATCAAGCGAGCGCTGATGGACGGTTTTCCGGGCGTGTTGGACATTCCAGACCAACATGGGAGAAAGATCCTCATTCTGTTTGCCTCTAACTGGGACCAGAGCAGGTAAACACGTCATCCCATAATAACCAGTTAAACCTGTAACTAACCAGCTCTGGTGTCAGCAGTCCAAACTAAAGACGGTTCCAGTTCAGAAACAATTATTCTGTTTCTGGTTCGGTTCAGAGGTTCTGGACTGGATGGGGGGTTCTGGTCTGATGAAGACAGATGGACGAGTGGACATCTGTCTGGTTATTGGCTGGCCCGTTAGCGCCGATCGGTACCGAGGTGTAGCTAAAGCTCAGAGACTCGTCACGCTGGTTTCCTCCATTGATCAGCTGATCCATCCTCTCCTCCCCAGGAACTCCTTCGTAGACATCCTCCGGGCCATCCTGCTCTCGCTGGAGGTCCTGATAGAAAAACCGGAGCTGCAGATCAACGGCTTCACCCTCATCATCGACTGGAGCAACTTCTCCTTCAAACAGGCCTCCAAGCTGACGCCCAACATCCTGAAACTGGCCATCGAAGGTCTCCAGGTCGGCTCCGGCTGCTGATCTTCTCCCTCAGATGTTTTAGAACCTTGGACCAGGATTAATCCGCTCCTTCCTCCTCCTCCTCAGGACAGCTTCCCGGCCCGGTTCGGAGGGATCCACTTTGTGAACCAGCCCTGGTACATCCACGCCATGTTCACCATCATCAAACCCTTCCTCAAAGACAAGACCAGGAAACGGGTGAATTCCGATGATTTATTCTCATTTCCTGCTTGCTCCTCCCTCTGGGAAGTTTTCCATCCTGTTTAATTTATTTTCTCTCCTTTTAGTATTTTTCTTTCAATTTTCACGTGTCTTTCTGCTCGTTTATCTCACGTTTTCTTCTGTCCTTTTCTGTGATCGTTTATTTTTCCTGTCCTTACTTCTTTTTCTCTCGGTTTTCCAGTTTTCATCTTCGTTTCTTCTCCTTTTACCGCATACTCTCCCCCCTTCTTGTTAGTCCTTTATAGACTTTTAATAGTCTTGTGCTTTATAAAAATAAGCCTCAACAAACTAGAACTGCTTATTTCTCAGCATTAATTGAGGAGAATAAGCATAATCCTAAATTTCTTTTCAGTACAGTTGCTAAACTTACACAGAATCATAGCTCTGAGCCATCTATTCCCTTAGCCCTCAGCAGCAATGACTTCATGGGATTTTTTACAAGTAAAATTAATTCTATTAGAAACAAAATCTTTAGCATTCTCCCTAATGCGATTTCTTCTTCCTCAGTAAGTGAGGCAGCATCAGAGGTGACTGTAGAACCTCATCTGTGCTTGAACCGTTTTGATCCAGTTGAGCTTTCAGAGTTATCAAAAATATTAGCTTCATCTAAACCTTCAACTTGCATTTTGGATCCAATCCCAACCAAATTATTTAAAGATGCATTTCCTTTGGTTACTGCCCCCATTCTAGATATAATCAATCTATCCTTAGTAAATGGATATGTACCACAAGATTTTAAGGTTGCTGTAATCAAACCTTCACTTAAGAAGCCTTCTCTGGATCCAGATGGCCCAATGAATTATAGACCAATATCTAACCTTCCATTTTTATCCAAAGTCCTGGAGAAAATAGTGGTCATCCAAGTATGTGAGCATTTAAACACTAATGCTCTGTTTGAGGAATTTCAGTCTGGTTTTAGAGAGTATCACAGCACTGAAACTGTGTTAGTGACAGTTACAAATGATATTCTCATGGCCTCAGATAAGAATCTTGTGTCTGTTCTAGTCTTGTTAGATCTCAGTGCTGCCTTTGACACAGTTGATCACAATGTTCTTTTAGAAAGACTTGAACATGTTGTAGGGGTCAAAGGAACAGCGCTAGGCTGGTTTAAATCCTACCTGTCTGACAGATTTCATTTTGTAAATGTACATGACAAATCTTCTTCATACTCCAGGGTTACTTGTGGAGTACCACAGGGTTCAGTGCTTGGACCATTCCTTTTACTATATATATGCTCCCAATTGGTAAAATCATTAGACAGCATGGGATAAACTTCCACTGTTATGCTGACGATACTCAGTTATATTTATCCATTAACCCTGATGAACCTAATCGGTTGGGTAGATTACAGGCTTGTCTTGAGGACATAAAAAATTGGATGACTCTAAACTTCTTGCTTTTAAATCAAGACAAGACGGAAGTTCTCATCTTTGGACCAGAAATCCAGAAAAGGAAATTGCTTAGCCAATCACCTGACCTGAATGGCATTACATTAATCTCTGAGAACAAAGTAAGGAACCTTGGTGTTATCTTTGACCAGGACATGTCATTCAGGTTAAACAGGTTTGTAGGATTTCCTTTTTCCACCTTCAGAATATTGCTAAGATCTGTGAGGCAGACACTTTGTCTACTTTTAAGAATAGGCTTAAAACATTTTATTTGATAGGGTCTATGGTTAAAATCTGACGTTAGCCTGGATCTGGACAAGTGGGGGAGTAGAGGGAGGTGGAGTGTACAGTCGGTAAAGACGGCGCTCCCTTGCCCTGCCTCCATCTAAAAGGCTAGGTTATCCAGGGTTATGCTGCTATAGGCTTAGACTGCTGGAGGACACACTGACCACTTTCCACACTCTACTGCTTTCATTGCTGCTAACCACTAAAACATTCTCCCTCTCCTGATAATAACATTTTACTCTCTTTGACGTTGGATGTGCTACTACTAGTTTACCCGTTTAATTATAGATTCACTAGGATAAATACAATAAAGTTTATCTCTCACCTAATAGAATATTTACTAAGACATCACAATGTGACCATAGAAACACTACTGTGTGTGTGTGTGTGTGTGTGTGTGTGTGTGTGTGTGTGTGTGTGTGTGTGCGTGCGTGCGTGTGCTCTGTCTTCTCCATCCCCAGTGAGTCGTGGTGGATGGCTGCTTATACTGAGCCAGGATTCTCTGGAGGTTTCTTCCTGTTAAAAGGGAGTTTTCCTCTCCACAGTCGCTAAATGCTTGTTAAGTATGAGGATTGCTGTATAGTCACAGACACTAGTCAGTGACTTGATGCAACCTGCTGGGTTCCTTGTATAGGAAACTTGTTACTGATTGGCTGAATGACCTGACCTGTACTGGACTGTGTGAAGGTCCTTGAGACGACTCTGGTCCTGATGTGGCGCTTTATAAATAAACTGAAATGAATTAACGGTTTATCATCTTGTTCCCTTTTACTTCTCTTTCCCTTCATTTTGTCTTCTTGTTTTCTCTCCTTTTCGGATGGACCTTAACCCCGCCCACCCAGATCTTCCTCCATGGTAACAACCTGAACTCACTCCATCAGCTCATCCAGCCCGAGTGTTTACCGTCGGAGTTTGGCGGAACGCTGCCTCCCTACGATATGGGAATCTGGGCCCGGACGCTGCTGGGACCCGACTACACAGACGAGACGGAGTACACGCTGACGTACGACGCCCTCCATGTTAGGGAGAGCTGTGGAGGAGGAGGAGACAAGGACAAGATGAAGAGGTGAGGAGGACATAGCGGATAACATGAAGCAAACATTCCTCTAATGAAGGTTTTTATCATGTTTACAGAAATAAAAACATCAAATCTAATCAGGTTTATTCGTCTAGCACTTTGCCCAAAGTGCTGCACCTAGACAGCAAGATACAAGCAGTCAGTAGAAAACACAATAAAACACAAAAAACAGTACATTCAAAATCAGACATGAGAAATGGTAACAAACAGGTCCACCAAGTCAACTAGGAGTACTAAAGCTGTCGAACATAAATAAGTCTTCAGTAGCTTTTTAAAAATGCCAACAGATGACAGCTGCCTGATGGGGATGGGCAACGTATTCCAGAGTAGGTGCAGCCACTGAGAAACCTAACGCCTCTTCTCCGTAACCTCGCCCTGGCCACGCTCAATCTTTGCCGATCAGCTGATCCTAATCCACGAGACGGGACAGAGGGCACTAGAGGTTCAGATAAATGGCTAGGAGCAAGGGCACTTGAACCAACATCTTCAATTGCACATGGAGCTAAACTGGGATCCAGTGAAGAGGCCAGAACTGAAGTGATGTGATCACATCGACATCCGCCAGTCAAATAACGGGCTGCCGCACTCTGAACTAGCTGCAGCCTAACAACACGATCAACGCCCAAGAAGAGGCTAATGCAGCAGTCTAAACCAGATGTTAGAAACGCACGGACAAGCTCCTCAAAGTCACCCCTAATCAGCTTCACCTTGAAGACTCGGGTGAAAAAAGCTAACTCGAACCACATTGTTGACTTGAACACCAAAATTAAGCTGAGAATCCATCTTAACGCCCAAATTAGACACACACTGATGTGTGTGTGACATTTGTTCTCCACACTGACCCATCCCCATGGAGGGGAGCGGTGAGCTGCAGCGGTGGCCGAGCTCGGGAGCCATTTGGTGGCTTAAGCCCCCAATCCAACCCCCTAATGCTGAGTGTCAAGCAGGGAGGTGTTGGTCCCATTGTTTTCCAAAGTCTTTGGTATGACCGGACCAGGAATCGAACCCTGATCTCCCAGTCTCAGGGCGGACACTCTACCACTAGATCACTGAGCTGGTACCCAGTCTTAGAATGGTCAAGACGCAAAAAATTACAGCCCACCCAATCGTAAACCGCACGAAGACACATTAGAGCTACTTACTTAGCTTTATTAGGAGCGTAGACCTGACAGTCATCAGCATAGAAGCTCATAATTCCTAAAAATGGCCCCGAGTGGGACATCAGCAGCCCTGAAGCTTCATGACATCACAGGTTTTTGTGTTTCAGGTCTCAGTCGACGGTGGAAGCAGGAACCCTCCGACAGACGGGCAGAGAGACCAGCACGCCACTGCTGGCTCTGGACTGAAACACAGCTGTCCAGATGTTCCCAACACCACAACGCTGTAGTGGGAGTTACCATAAGAGCGCTCGCCTGAACACGGCGAACGCCAAAACCAAACGTTTCATTTCCACCGTGAAACCTGGAGGTTTAACCGACCATAACTAGTTTAACTAGTTCAGTAACAATTGTTTTTGTAGAATATTGATAAAAGAACAAACAGCTGACAAATCCTGTAAACGTTCAGTTTTATATTTCAGCTGAGGATGACCACAAACGTTTTTGTTAGTTCCGTTTTCATTTTTCCAGCTCGCAAAAATAAGTTTTAAACGGAATCAAAATGTCAAAAGTTTCAGATCAAAATTCAGAAACCAAGAATGATAAATATTGGTGTTTAGGTATCAGATGTTTGTTTATGAGCAGCTCTGTCGCCCCAGTGGCCACAAAGGGAATCGGCCCCTCCCCAGATGATTGTATGTTGTTGTTTGTACGGTTCCACTGGTAAACGACACAGAATAAACAATGTTACACGACAGATTATAGAGCTAGATAATCCAGAGCAGCAGCAGGAATCATCATCAGGGCTTCGATCAGCTGTAACAAGTTTCCTTTAATGAATGTAAAAAAATAAACATTTACACCAAGTCCTCAGGCTTTTATTTTGAAAGGAAAACAAGGAAGTGGTTTCAAAGTCTAACGTCATCAGTGACTGATTTAACGTTAAAAACCCAGACCCACTCCAGAACCCTAGACCCAGTCCTGAACCAGACCCAGTTCAGAACCTGACCCTGTCCAGAACCCTAGACCCAGTCCTGAACAAGACCCACTCCAGAACCCTAGACCCAGTTCAGAACCAGACCCAGTCCAGAACCAGACCCAGTCCAGAACCCTAGACCCAGTTCAGAACCAGACCCAGTCCAGAACCCTAGACCCAGTCCTGAACCAGACCCAGTCCAGAACCCTAGACCCAGTTCAGAACCAGACCCAATCCAGAACCAGACCCAGTCTAGAACCCTTGACCCAGTTCTGAACCATACCCAGTCCTGAACCAGACCCAGTCCAGAACCCTAGACCCAGTTCAGAACCAGACCCAATCCAGAACCAGACCCAGTCTAGAACCCTTGACCCAGTTCTGAACCATACCCAGTCCTGAACCGGACCAGTCCAGAACCCTCAACCCAGTCCAGAACCAGACCCAGTCCAGAACCGGACCCAGTCCTGAACCGGACCCAGTCCAGAACCTGACCCAGTCCAGAACCAGACCCAGTCCAGAACCCTCGACCCAGTCCAGAACCCTAAACCCAGTTCTGAACCATACCCAGTCCTGAACCGGACCCAGTCTAGAACCCTAAACCCAGTTCTGAACCATACCCAGTCTAGAACCCTAGACCCAGTCCAGAACCAGACCCAGTCCAGAACCCTCGACCCAGTCCAGAACCTGGCCCAGTCCTGAATATTTACTGGTAGTCAGGCTGTAAAGTGACTCTGAATCAGGCCGGCGTTCCGGACCGGGTCGGTACCTCTGGCCAGTGATGAGATGTGATGAAAGGAAGGGTTGGTGATGTTTTTATTGTTTTGTATAAATATAAAATCTCACGTTTGTTGTTTATGTGCAAAAGCAGCAGGTAGGAACTCACCTGGACACCAGACAGAGCATCAGCCCTCCGGGCTTTAGTGTTTCTGATCAGACTAGCAGACTAAAGGTCAACGAGGTCATTTTGGTTTGACACAACCTGATGAAAGTGGTGGAGAACCAGAACCTGGTTCTGCCCCGACTCAGGTAGGTACCGTACGGATGGGTCTGATGTAGAGTCAGTAGTTTGTTCCAGATCAACGTTTTTCAACCTGTTTGGTCCTCAAGTCCATCAGATCCTCCGAGCCAAACCGTGGTTCTGTTCTAAATGGGACTGAGCGTCTGGCGCTGGTACTGGGTCAGCTCGGGATGCCACACGTCTACGATGAAGATGAGGCGGTAGCGGTCGGCCTCCTGCCAGACCTCGTGCTCAAAGGAGTCGTCAAAGATGAGAACTTTCCCTTCGTTCCACTCCCTGAGACAGGACAGAAGCAGAGGACGGGTTCGGTCAGAACCGCTGGATCAGCTGATCGCTGCGAGGTCAGCAGATGCTCACCTGGTCTGGTTGGTGCAGCGGATCCTGCAGCCGGGGGGCACGACCAGACCCAGGTGCATCCTGAGTCTGCAGTTGGTGGGTCCGGTGTGAGGCCAGACGTGGGTTCCTGGCTGCATCACCGAGAACTTGATCTGAGCAGAGACCAGAATCAAAACAAACCTCTTAGGTTGTCGCCTCTGAGCCAGGAGGAAGCTCTGAAAGGAGAGCTGAAGCCACGCCCCCCAGGTACTGTGCCGCTGTCGGGTTAGTTAGTTAGTCTCTAACCATAAACACCAGATGTTCTACCGTAAAACACCAAGTTGAGCTTAACTCGGATGTTGCAGCTCTGACCAGATCGACCCGCTAACGGCTAGGCAGGGTCTGCGATGAAACGGTTCTGATCTAGACCTCAAGGAGAAATGAGACCACCAGGCCTGTCCAGAGGACTGCTGACCCGGGTCTCAGAGGACCAGAGGTCCTGTACCTGTCCTCTCTTGCAGCCGATGGCTTCTGGGAACCTCTCCATCAGGGAGCAGGTCTTTGGGACGCCCTGACAGGCACCCCCAGCTTTCCTCCCTGAGAACACACACACACACACACTAGCTGTGAAACACTGTGCTATTTAATGCCACTGGTGGAGTCTGAAGTGAGGTCCCACCTTGCTGCCACAGTGTGTACTGGCCCCAGTCACCCTTCTCTCTCAGGTTTTCTTCCTCAGGTATGAACCGACCGCGGTCCTGGTCCATCACAGCCAGAGCTTCATCCCTGATCGTTTTCCAGTTCTTCTCCAACATCTAAACAAACAAATCCGCATCAGACTCAGTCCTGCTGAAAAAGGATGCGATTTGGATCACATGGAGGGATAGCAAACCTTCACCAGGTCAATGTATCCTGTCTCCTTGGGCGTCCACCAGGGCTGAGCTTTCAGTCCGTCAACGTTGTAGAGAGATCTCTGCCACACCGAAGCAAAGTGGCCTTGTTTATGTCCTCGTTCATACCAGTGATACGCCTGTGGACCATCATCATCAAAAACATCATCATCATCATCATCACCATCATCATCACTATCATCACTATCACCATCATCATCAAAAACATCATCATCACCATCATCATCACTATCATCACTATCACCATCATCATCATCATCATGATCACTATCATCATCATCACTATCATCACCATCATCACTATCACCACCATCATCATCATCAACATCAACATCATCATCATCATCATCACTATCATCATCATCACTATCATCACCATCATCACTATCATCACTATCACCATAATCAACATCATCATCATCATCACTATCATCATCATCACTATCATCACCATCATCACTATCATCACTATCACCATCATCATCATCAACATCATCACTATCATCATCATCACTATGATCAAAATCATCATCATCACCATCATCATCATTATCACCATCATCATCATCATCACTATCACCATCATCATCATCATCATCATCACTATCACCATCATCACTATCATCAAAATTATCATCATCACCATCATCATCATCACCATCACCATCATCACTATCACCATCATCATCATCATCATCATCATCAAAATCATCATCACTATCACCATCATCATCATCACCATCATCATCACCATCATTATCACTATCATCATCATCACCATCATCATCATCACCATCATCAAAATCATCATCACCATCATTACTATCACCATCATCATCACCATCATCATCATCATCAATATCATCAAAATAATCATCATCATCATCATCAAAATTATCATCATCATCATCATCACAATCACCATCAACACTATCATCATCATCATCATCACCATCATCATCAACACTATCATCATCATCATCATCACCATCATCATCAAAATCATCATCACTATCATCATCATCATCACCATCATCATCACTATCATCACCATCACTATGATCAAAATCATCATCATCACCATCATCATCATCACCATCACCATCAACACTATCATCATCATCATCACCATCATCATCATTATCATCATCATCATCATCACCATCATCATCATCATCATCATCACCATCATCATCACTATCATCACCATCACTATGATCAAAATCATCACCATCACCATCATCATCACTATCACCATCATCATCATCATCATCACTATCACCATCATCATCACTATCACCATCATAATCATCATCACCATCATCACTATCATCATCACCATCATCATCACTATCATCACCATCACTATGATCATAATCATCATCATCACCATCATCATCACTATCACCATCATCACTATCATTTAAATTATCATCATCACCATCATCACCATCACCATCATCACTATCACCATCATCACCATCATCATCATCATCACCATCATCATCACCATCATCATCACTATCATCATCATCACTATGATCAAAATCATCATCATCACCATCATCCTCACTATCACCATCATCATCATCATCATCATCACTATCACCATCATCATCATCACTATCACCATCATCACTATCATTTAAATTATCATCATCACCATCACCATCATCACTATCACCATCATCATCAAAATCATCATCACTATCACCATCATCATCATCACCATCATCAC